AGCCATCAGCACCTGCCGACTGAATACCCGATTCCGGGAATCATGGAAGCACATTGTTCAATTCCCGGATGAAAGCTTTGTGCAGCTTGGGCCAAAGAAAAGACCGAACATGAATATGAAGACTTCAAAAAGGAGACAAACAGACTCTGCCATGGGCGAAATAAAAAAAGAACCATGTCCTGGGAGCAGTCGGGGTGGAATTTGGTGCGATAGAGGCCAAATTCACGTTCACCCGTATCACCGACCGGGGGTGTTATGCTGGCCGATTGATTGGTGGCTGTCGGGACTGTATTACGGTCGCGAAATAAATTTTATTTTAAATTTTTTTATTAAAATTGGCTATTTTTCATTTTTCATCTTAGCATGTGAATTCACTGACTTTGCTATTTGTCTATGCTATTTGACATTTGCTATTTGTCTATGGTACCATTGACTAACTAACGAAAAACGAGAAAGCCAGCTACTTTACAAACCTTCACTTATTGTTGTATAGCTATTTGTAAGACATATATTATTTTTCTAACTACTATTACTAAGAGTTTTTAAAAATATATTAAAAAGACTCTTCCAGTTAGAAGCCTGGACCCTGGCCAAGTCCTGGCCTTAACTAGTAGAGAAATTTTTCTGCACCAAAATTATATTCAAGTAATTTTGACTTACCAAATTTGGACCTAGAATAGCTAAACCTCCTTTTAAGGTGAACTTGGAAATCTTACCTGGAATGATTTTCCAAGCCCTCACTTTAAAAAATAAAGGTTGCCAATTAGCTACAGACGCTAAGTAATAGTACAATAATTAAAGAAATTTATAATGCATTGTTTTAAATCACCATTCGATTTTTCATGTACTACTAATTGTATCTATTATCTGATTTATTTTTACTTAGTATAAGTTTATTGTTACATTACATATTGTTTTGCTTTTGTGTTATCCTCATGTTCCTAACAAGAAACACACATGCTATTAAAAACCAAAAAATTAGGGGGGAATTAGGGCTCCTCCAGAACTTTACACTAATATTTACACTAAAAATGTTTGAAAGCAAACCAAATCATATCAAATTGGATCCCTTACCCTCCTGAAACACCCTTGGAACCCCAAGAGTTAAAGTTCCTGGGTTCTGTGAAATTGGATTTTTGTGTTAATTTTAAATACATGGGAAGGAAACAGTCTAAAAATGTTTCTTCCTGTCACCCTGTGTATAAGAATCAAACCTTCTGGTACGATTACACTTCTGGCACAATTACACTTTCTAAATCCAGTAATGCAGCTGCCATCAGGGATGTTTTCAGTTTATAATGATCAAGCCTGAGCCTTTTAGTGGATGGAGTTTTTTAACAAAAAGATTATTTTTAGGATAGGTATGTATGTGGTAATTTTGATAATAATTGTATTAATCATGATACCTTTCAGTGTGTGCAGAGATTAATTAATAAGGCCATTAAAAGAGTATTTTTGATCGAAAGGAAAGGGGAAGGTGTTGGTATGTTGGGGGACACAAGACAGATGATGGACTTTGGACTTGGTTAACATAAGAGATTTGATGACAGGATTCCTTGGCAAAAGTAAACAGAACTTTGAAAATTAGACCTAGATTGCAAGTAGATTAAATCAGACAGGTTTACCAGAAAAAGAAAATCTCATTGAACTCTGCAAGCAAGAGACATTCTTATATGCATAAATTTGTGTGTGATTTTAACCTAATCATAGTACACATTACTAGTCTCCCTAAAATGATACATAAATGTATGTATTCCACAATAAAATTGGATTCTGATCACTGAATCAGTCTCCCTGTCTCTCTCCATCGCCGTCACCAGATTATTTTTCAGCATTGAGTATATCTTTCTGTTGCAACACCAGTTTAACTAGAATGTTTCTTGAAAATCATTTTGAATATAATGTTTTAGAAAATGGTCAGCTACCAGCTGTGAACATTAAAAGGCTGAGAACACAGAGAGGAAACAGTTTGCACAAGAACAAGTTTAATCCTAGAAACACCTGTCTTCTGGATTAAGGTAAGTTTATTCATACTCTGGTAGAAGTTTTGCAGTAAAGCTACAGTCCTACAATTCTCTTGGTGATGAGCTCAAACAAAACAAGAGACCTGCTTGGAGAAAGGAAAAAATGCATGGTCAGATAATAGATGCATTATTATGGTCAGATAATAGATGAGAGATTGAAGGTACTGTTGAGTTTGCAGGGGTCCCCAGGACAAGGTGAGAGATGAGTGAATCTGACTCCATGTCCTTGGAAGGCTAATTTATTATATTATGATATGATATTATATGATGATATGATATTATATGATATGATGCTATACTAAAACTATACGAAAGCTAGAGAAAGGATTGACAGAAGGCTCAACAAGAATGATAATGAAAGCTCGTGACTCTCCAGAGTCCTGACACGGCTGGATGGTGATTGGTCATTAAGTAAAAACAATTCACATGAAACCAAAGAAATAATCACCTACCACATTCCAAAGCAGCAAAACAGGAGAAGCAGATCCGATAATTATTATTTACATTTTTCTCTGAGGCCTCTCAGCTTCCCAGGAGAAGAATCCTGGGCAAAGAGATTTTTCAGAAAATATGATGGTGACAAGGTACCAAAAAGTTGAGTCAGAATTTTTGCAGACAGTTTTGTAACACTGTGAACCACCAGTGATCTCAGATGCTTAATTTCAGTGGAGAAGTAGTAAAAAACCACAAAACAGTACAAAACCCCATCCTGCACTGCTGGGTTCAGGAGATTCTGTGCATTTAGAAATCCATGTTCTGAAATCCTGCCTAAAATTGCCTGGATTTTTATGTATACAAGTACTACCTGCAAGCATTAAAAATTATTGTCCTAGTCATGACACTGGGGCCTTGGTGCTAGCAGACAGTGGCACTGAGAGGTACAGCTCTGATTTTCTCTTGTAAGTGGCCTAGGTTGGTGCCAAGAAACACAGGATGAGATGATTTTCCTAACATTCTGAGTAGGATTCAAGGACTTTGGAAAAACGTGGCAGAGCCAGTCTCCAAAGAAGTACTCTCAGGCTTTGCTAAATTAAACCTTAATCCAGACAGGCCAGGTGGCAGTGCTGTGGGGAGTTGTAGTCCATGCTATTAGAAATTCTGTAAGTAATTCACCTTTATGCCTCTTGCTTTGGGGACCAGAGCCCCTGTCTTCTGGCAAGGCAGTCCCAGCTCTGCTGGCAGCAGCCCCTCAGGGAGTACATGTACCTGGCACATGAAATCCCTCACTCTCCTGTGCTTTTTTTAAAGCAGAACAGCTGGAAGAGCTGAGGAAGGAGCTCCATAGACCTCTAGCCAACATCATCATGCTTTTAACTGAGCTGTTGCTCATTACGTCTGAGGGAGACTACACTGACTCCAGCACAAAGATTAAGAACTAGGCGCTTCCTACTTTTCTCTTGGAAACTGGTTCTCTGCTTAATTAACACATCAGCATTTGGGACAGACCCCAATTGCACAGCTCAGTGGTGCTGTCCTTTTCCTGGCACAGGGCTCCAGCCAGTGCAGGGGCCAAGGAAGAAAAAGCAAGAAGGACATGGAAGCACCAACTCCACGAGACATTTCAGCAGGAGGCTAAGCACAGGGCCAGAGTCACTGACTCATAAGGAGTCCTTAGGCCAGGGTGTGAGGTACCACTGTTCAAGTTTGGGACTTAGCTGCAGGTGGCTGCATGAAACCTGCTCAGACGGACTCCTGCTCGGCACCGATGGGTGATTGGAGTTTGGGCTAAGCTTCAGTTGAGTGTTGGGGGCAGAAAGAGAACTGAGGAGCCTGGGAGACTTGGTGCCTCAATTATGTCACTGGTGTTCAGGAGATGAAAGCTTAAGTCCTTGGTTGTTGTCCGGTTTTTATGCCAAGCAAAAGATGTGGAAACGTGGAGAAGAGCAAGTAGCTCTCATTTGTGACAGGCCTGTCCTCTCAGAAAGAGCTGAGTATGCAGTTCAAACAGAAAGAAGAAAAAACAACTTCTTTCAGAGCAGACAAAAGTCACTAAGTCACTCTTCTCAGATTTGAGGGATACCACTGAGGCAGGGAATAGAGACTTACAAAATAGCTTACTGAAAATGCATGCAAATTGTACTCCTTTATCGTTCAGGACTCAAAGCATGTTTCTCTCAAATGCTTTGGGAGTTGGGAGGGTCCTGGTTTTAAATACTAACCACATCTAACATTCTCTGAAATTTGCTTACCTTTTCTTTTCTTTTTACTTTCTCTATGAAGCAAAAAATCCAAAGCTGGGAACTTGAGCTTCACTCACCCTGAGTGTCCTGTTACATGAATGTTCCATGAGCAAAAAGGAAATTATTTTTGTGTCATTTAGCTCATCTAGCAACTATTTGTGCTGATGGCAGCAAAACATTTAGCTGTTGCCAGCTAAGGGCAGGAGGATCTGGGTGGTGAGGGCTCTCCCTTTTCTGAAGAAAAAGAACCTTAGTTTACAGAACAACTCGAAAGGCTCAGGTGAACAGGACAGATTCCAACTGTGCCAAAGGTGGCAGCGCATTCAGGCTTGCCTGGGATGGCTGTGGGCCAGCAGTGCCTGCAGCAGGTGGGAGTTGCACAAGTGGGTGCACAGATCCTCTGTGCTCTGGAGGGGTCTTTGACCCGTGTGTCAGCAGCTGCTGCTCTCTTGGACCTCAGGCCAAAGACCTTCAGGAATTTCACCTCCTGTGCCATCAGAGCAGGCCCCTGGCTTGTGGTGAGCAGCTGTGTGAAGGCTCGTCTGGAGCCTTCCCCTGCACCCTCTGCCCTGGCACCGCCTTTAAGCCCTGGCCCCTGCATGGGTTGCACTTGTGGCACCCAATCATTTGTAGAGAAACACGGCATTGTTTTCATGAGAAGGTATTTTAAAGATGTCTGGAAAGTGCAGAGGAGCAGTGTGAGCAATGATACAGGGAAAGGTGTATTCCTTGATACTGTACCCTTAATGCATCTCTAGGACCTGATTATGACTTTCACTGCCAAGAGACACTGTGGTCCTTGTGTTAAAGAACTGCATTTATTCATATAAAGGCATATTGATGGTGCAAATGTATAATTGATAACCTATGTAATTAGGTATACTACATATACACCTGTATTGTTTCAGGTACTTCCTACAAAAATATGGGAAATTCAGAGTTCATTAGAGCATTTTATAATTCAACAATATAAATTGAGGTGAAAACAGGCTACCCACCTTTGTGGGAATTCCTGCCTGCCCCAGCAAAATAAGACAAAGGCAATGGGATGTACATTCAAAGCAGCCCTTCTAGAGCGGCATCACTGCTTTGCTAACATTCCCTGTTATGCAGGTATGTTCCAGCTGCAGGTGTGGGAGAAGCCCTTAGGTGTGTCTGGGAATGGTGGCCTGGAAGCACCTGACTGAGATCTGTTCTGAATCAAGGCAGCTGAAATACGCTCAGCACATGTTCTCTTTTCACTGGTGCCTCTGGGAAATGAGAATCAATTCTTGCTTTTCACTGGGTGCTTCTCTGCCCAATGACTGCATCAAACTTGACCTCAGACATCTTCTTCAGAAGGTTCAGGGCACGTTCTGGAAACACCCTGGAAGAGAGAGTAACATGAAATGAAAAGTGAGATAGGAACTTAAAGTATGGGAAAAAGTGTCACTGCAGGTGAGGGAAGAGCTGGTCTGGCAGCAGAATGCATGCACACATATGAACTGAGACTATGTATTAAACTGGGCATTATTTCATAAAGACATGTAGGCTTCGTCAATCTCTGGCAAGTTTTAACTCGAATCCTACCCATCTCTTTTTAGGACAATTCCAGGACAGGTATGTACCAACCATGATTTAGGCTGCAATATTGCTGCAGAATCCAGAAAGTTTTCATGCTGAACATAGACACAAGTATTTGCTTTCTCTTTGCAACAGAGCCCTTTAAAAGCAATTTTCCAACCTGAATGGCCTGAATTTTTGGTGTTGACAGAGAAAAAACCACTCAGGTCCTCATGTCCTTCTGAGGCTACGCTGGAGCTGCTGTTTCAGGGAATGTGGTGGCCTGTAGAGCAGTGAAGCTCTGCGTGGACACCAGTCAGCTGCAGCAAGTGGTACAATGCAAAGGCCTGTGAGAGGGCTCAACAAAATCTCAAACTGATGTCTGCCGTTGTCACTGAAAAGAACCACTGCATTATTAACTACCTTGTGATATGTTCTAAAATACAAGTTAATCTTGAATCAGATTTTACAAGTTTGAGGGTGGTACACTCATCAGGTTACAGTTGATACTTTTGTCCTACTCACCTTTCAAGCAGTAAAGCAATGCTCTGATTTGATGGAACAAAAACCATTTTCTGGTTGGTCACTATTCCTTCCATCAAAGCCTGTACAACTTCTTCAATCTCCAAAATCTTTCCAAGCCTACACAGGAAAGCAAATACATAAGAGCTGCAGTGATAAAAAGGGGTGGTACCAGCTGATCTAGGAGGCTTCACAAATGTACAAACTCAGGTAATTCAAATGCAACAATTACATGGACAATTAAACAACAATTAAAGGACATTGCAGATTTTCTTTAGTCAATGATACAAACAGTTGTTATACAACAACTGTTGGAACAGAGGCCTAAAGCTGGGATAATATGCAGTGCCTTGATGCAAAGAAGGAAACACAGGAATGCAGAGTATTGAGAGTTACCTTGTACTGGGGTTTTTGACAAATCCAGTGTTTATAAAAACTGGACAAAGGCATGTTGTTTTTATTCCATCCTTTCCCAGGGCAGACAGCTCCTCTGTCAGAGCTTTATGAAATCCAACTGCAGCAAACTTGCTTGAGCTGCAGGAAGGGAGAAAGTACAAATGAGAATGCAGAAATCCTATTTCCACCCTTCTACCACTGCAAATGGCTTAAACAATCATACACACACAGTAGAGGGTAGGATGCAAAAACCTCCAAATAATCCAGCTGAGAGGCAGAGCAAGGACAATATTACCCTTCTGTGTGCCAGACTGTAGTGCTGCATAAGGTATTGAAACTTGTGGAGTAATTGTGGAAAGCAGACAGGGTGTCAACAGGCAAACAAAGCAGAGATGAAAACATCAGGAAATCTTAGAAAACATTAACTAGTGTGTGACGCACATCCAATTTTTCCCATGAGAGAAGATTCTTGGAAGGAATGCATCATGAATGTCTGAAATTAGGAAGGATGGGCAGGGTAGAAATGGAGATTAACCTTTGACTACTTATAGTACCACCATGCCCCTGCTACCCAACCTTGTCTGCAGCACTGTAGATGTCCTCCCGTTTGCTGCAGTCAACCATGAAGCTTTGAACAGTGGCTCCCAGCTTCTGGCATTCTGCTGCCGTCTCCTCAACGCCATGCTGGAAGAGGCAAAGAGAAAGACACCATGCACAGCTGTCCCCTCACCACAGCTGAACAGCAGAGGCTGAAGATGTCCCTGGATTGAGCAACCACTGCCCAGCCTCTGAACAGGTCATGGCTACCCAGGGAAAGAGCTGCAGGTGGGGTCGTTGAAAGAATAGGCATTCCAGTTGGAAATTTTGGACCTTTGTAGAGGTGACTACCAGAAAGGAAATCACAGAATCATGAAATGGTTGGAAAGGATCTTAAAGACTATATAGTTCCAACCTTCCCTTGTACGGGACAGGACACTAGATCAAGTTCTCCATTCAATCTGGCCTTGAACATTTCAAGAGATGAGGTATCTATAACTTCTCTGGGCCACCTGTTTTAGTACCTTGCCATCCTCACAGTAAAGATTTTTTTGCTAATATCTAATCTAGCCTCATCTCTTTCAGTTTGAAGCCATTTCCCTCGGTCCTGTCACTACATGCTCTTGGATATAGTCTCTCTCCATCTTTTTGTAAGCCCGCTTCACACACTGGAAGGTTGCAATTAAGCCACTCTGAAGCCATCTGTTTTCCAGGCTGAGCAATCCCAATTCTCTTAGCCTTAGGGATGTGGCAACAAGAGTGAGTTTGGCCTGGTAAAGCAGACAGAGCAAGGCTGCAGAAAGGGTCAGATGCTGCGTATCAAAGCACAGCAGGCAGCACTGTGAGTGTAAACAGAGCTCATGCAACACAGGCCTGACTGACACTCCGAGGTGTGGAGAGTGGTTCTATGTGTTTCTGTATTCACGTGCTGGGTGTGAGAAGAGCCACAGTTGTATTGGGTCTGGCTGAGATGGAATTAATTTCCCCATAGCATCCTCACAGTGCTGTACTTTGCACTGGTTCCTAGGAAGGGCTTGATAACACACCCGTTTTTTGGTTGCTGCTGAGCAGTGCTGGTGCAGCATCACTGCTGTGTTCCCAACATTCCCTGCCCCATCAATAGAGCCTGGGAGGGGACACAAGTAGGAAAGCAGAGCAAAACTGACTGAAGGGATATTCCATATCATATGACAGCTCAGATATAAAAGCCAAGAAAAAAAGGAAGAAGAGGTGGGGGATCTGGTATTTACAATATTTGTCTTCCGGAGCAAGCACTCCCAGGATGTGGGCTGTCATCTATTGCTGACAGAAAGTAATTTTTTTTTCTCTTTGCTTCTGTGTGCACAACCCTTCAGCTTTGCTTTAGCAAACTGCTTTATTTCATCCTACAAGTCATAATTTCCCATGTTATTTCCTCTACCCAGTCCAGCTGAGAAGAGGGGATGATAGAGCAGCTTGGTGGGCACCTGGTATGCAGCCAAGGTCAATCCACCACAACTGTGTACAATGCAAAGAGACTTTCCTTACAGGATTGCACTTGACAAACACAGAACGGAAGCTTCCCTCTGTTACTGTATCAGCTCACTAAGCCAGGGCAGAAATGATTTTGCTGTTGTCTCGTCCCCAGGTGCCAGAAGGCCGTGCCAGTGGGGCCCTGTGCTGGGGTCTGTTTTGCAGCTTTAGGATAACACAATTAGCTTCTTTGATGACCCAGTGTGTCAGAAAGAGAAAGCCCAGCCTTTCACTCACCCTGTTGCACCTACACCCAGCAGTTTACCTTGATACCTTCTGAATACCATGCTGCATGTTTGTATCTGCCCATCCTCCACCTGCCAAGGTCCTTTACACTTGCAGCTGCCCAGAGGGCAGCCGGGCTCACACACAGCCCGGCACAGGGATGCTGCTGATGAGTGCAGAGAAAACAAAGAGGCAGGGAGGACATGGAAGCACAAGAGACATTTCAGCAGGAGGCAAAGCACAGGGCCAGAGTCACTAACCTGACTCATAAGGAGTCCTTAGGCCAGGGTGTGAGGTACCACTCTTCAAATTTGGGACTCAGCTGTAGGTGGCTTGGTGCCTCAATTCTGTCACTGATGTTCAGGAGATAAAGGCTGAAATCCTTGCTTTTTCATATGTTTCTTTATGCCAAACAAAAGATATGCAGCCACAGAAGACACAGAACAGAACCACAGCCACACACGGAATACTGCACAAGTTGCCTTGCTCAGTAATTCCTCTGGGCTCTGAGACCCTGGACTAGATCTGGCAAATCACTACAGGAATCACTACTAGGAATCACTACAGTCTCCCCTTCCTTAGGAGCAAGTGTGCTAAGAAACAGACTCTGCAGAAGAGCACTGTCATCCCCAAGATGGATTTTTGTTCCAATTTAATGCTGCCATCAGAATCTAAATGATATACAGGGCTAGTGGGAATGGTGTTCCAGGAGAAGCCAAGCATCTTAGACTAGGGAAGGAAGCCAGTCCTTCCCTAGTCTAAGAAAAGGGCCAAGTCATCCAATGTTGACTTTTCTCCAGGGTCTTTTTGTGGAGTCACTGGACTGTGACTCCTTTGAGCAAGGATTCAAGTCACGAAACAGAAGAAATGTGGAAGGTGGGTGGAAAGAGAGACTAAGCTGGGTGGAAAGTTAAGAATGCTTGCCAGCCATACAAGAGAAAACTGTTAAGTACTTACAAATCTGTAAAGTACTGATTTAGCTCTTATGTTCCAGTGAGTGCTAAGGGCAAAATTTTGGCTGATATGCTGCTTGCTCTGACAGATCTTTTGAACTTTTCAAGCATCTGTATTTTTAGACTTTTTGACTCCTCACTAGGTAAGAATAGGTGAAAGTGAACATATTCAAAAAGCCACACAGATGTGGCTTTAAGTGTCTCATATGTTACAGGACTGTCATGGTAGCAAGAGGGCAATATGCACCTCAAAAAGAAGCAGGGACGCAACACCCCACATTTTGGCTTGGTTTTTAAATAGAAACCATGCCTAAGTATTCTTTGATTGGCTTATAACCTTTTTTTTTAATGTCCTGAATTTTGTGAACCCCCTTTTTTCCTTTCCTGTCTCAACTACAGGAATCTTGCACTGTGAATCACAACAACTGAAGCTGGGAAGTGTCCTGTTACATGAATATTCCATGGCAAAATGGAAAACAGTTGTGTGTTATTTAAGCTGTCAACAGTGCTTCTATCTGTTGCCAGCTAAGGGCAGGAGGGTCTGGGTGGTGAGGGCTCTTCCACTTCTGAAGAAAAAGAACCTTGGTTTACAGAACAACTTGAAAGGCTCAGGTGAACAGGACAGATTCCAACTGTGCCAAAGGTGGCAGCGCATTCAGGCTTGCCTGGGATGGCTGTGGGCCAGCAGTGCCTGCAGCAGGTGGGAGTTGCACAAGTGGGTGCACAGATCCTCTGTGCTCTGGAGGGGTCTTTGACCCGTGTGTCAGCAGCTGCTGCTCTCTTGGACCTCAGGCCAAAGACCTTCAGGAATTTCACCTCCTGTGCCATCAGAGCAGGCCCCTGGCTTGTGGTGAGCAGCTGTGTGAAGGCTCGTCTGGAGCCTTCCCCTGCACCCCCTGCCCTGGCACCGCCTTTAAGCCCTGACCCCTGCGTGGGTTGGTTGCCCTGCCTGGCCCTGTACCTCACTGATCCTGATGTGGCTTCCCTGTGTAGCTTCCCTGGGGACTGCCTCATCCCTGCAGCCTGGGCTGGTGTTTGGCAGACTCTGGCTGATCCTTTCAGCATTGTGGTATATGCTCCACTGGTACTGGATGTGGATGCCACTTTCATTGCCGAGAGACACTTTTGGTTAGAAAAATGTATTTATTTGTAACATGGAGTATTGGTGGTGCTAATGCATAATTGATAAATGTTGTAATTAGGCATTACATTACAAATAAGGCTGTATTATTTCAATAATACAAATAATTAATTCAATAGTGCTCATTATAAATGCACACAAAACTGTAAGTGTTCATTAGAGCACATTTTTTTTAAACTTAAAATTACTAAGTGAGATGAAACAGGCCACCCACCTCCTCTATAAATTGCTTCTTGCAAGATGCTTTTGTTCAGGGATGAGTCCAGGTTAACATGTTCTCAGGCAATCCCTTTGCACTCAGCTAAGGAGCTGTGTTGTCCCAGACACGGGCTTTGTGGGCATCCTGCCTGCCCAGCATAATGAGACAAAGGCAATGGGATGTACATTCAAAGCAGCCCTTCTAGAGCAGCATCACTGCTTTGTTATTATGCAGCCTGCTATTATTACACCCTGTTATGCAGATGTGTTCCAGCTGCAGATATGGGAGAAGCCCTTAGGTGTGCCTGGGAATGGTGGCCTGGAAGCACCTGACTGAGATCTGTTCTGAATCAAGGCAGCTGAAATACGCTCAGCACATGTTCTCTTTTCACTGGTGCCTCTGGGAAATGAGAATCAATTCTTGCTTTTCACTGGGTGCTTCTCTGCCCAATGACTGCATCAAACTTTGGAATGGTCATCTTCTTCAGAAGGTTCAGGGCACGTTCTGGAAACACCCTGGAAGAGAGAGTAACATGAAATGAAAAGTGAGATAGGAACTTAAAGTATGGGAAAAAGTGTCACTGCAGGTGAGGGAAGAGCTGGTCTGGCAGCAGAATGCATGCACACATATGAACTGAGACTATGTATTAAACTGGGCATTGCTTCCATAGCTCTCATCAATCTCTGACTAATTAAAGTTTATTCCTGGCCTTTTAGGACAGTTCCAATGCCAATTATCTGTGGAAAGTATGTGAACTGTAATATTGCTGCAGGATCCAGGAAGTTTGAATATTGTGCAGGTATAAGTGTGTATTACATTTCGTGCTCTGAAAAGCAGTAGGCCTGTGGAAGGATGAGATTTTAAAACTGAGGTGCAGTTCTTACTCCTAAGATTCCTCCTTTTAAAGAGCTTTGTCTCCTTATCCCCCTGTCCTAAATTATGACCAAAAAAGCAAAGTTATTCTAAGTGCTTTGACAGCATCAGTTTTGACTTGCCCATGCTTCTGCAGACCTGCACTCTCAACAAGCAGCTCTTGGATTTGCAAAAGGATTTAAAATATTTTTCCCACGGTGTGGTGTTTGGTTTAGCAAACAAGAAACTACCAAGTGTTTCATGAGATACTACAGGATTTAACTGAGAATCTAACTTAGTTGTTTGGATGTGAATTCCAGATTTGGAACTGGAGCTCTGGTAAAAACACCTCAACAGAGCAGCCACACTGGATAATTAAGTTGTGTGGGAGGATCAATCTTGCTTTACATAGCAGAGAGCAGTGCAGTTCTTTTGAAGCAATGTTCTCAGCCTCTGTGGCCTCAGTGCTGACATAAAGAAACAAACACTAATAAGCAGTAAGTCCTCAGCTCTTTCTGGAACTTCTTCTGACTCTGAGGTTACAAGTTTGAACGTTGTATACTCAGGTAGTATTGTTGTTTCCACATCTATTGTTTAGTTTTCCTTTGTACTTACATTTCAGTAAGCAAAGCAATGTTTAGCTGTGGTGGAACAAAAACTATTTTCTGGTTGGTCACTATTCCTTCCATCAAAGCCTGTACAACTTCTTCAATCTCCAAAATCTTTCCAAGCCTACACAGGAAAGCAAACACATAAGAGCTGCAGTGATAAAAAGGGGTGGTACCAGCTGATCTAGGAGGCTTCACAAATGTACAAACTCAGGTAATTCAAATGCAACAATTACATGGACAATTAAACAACAATTAAAGGACATTGCAGATTTTCTTTAGTCAATGATACAAACAGTTGTTATACAACAACTGTTGGAACAGAGGCCTAAAGCTGGGATAATATGCAGTGCCTTGATGCAAAGAAGGAAACACAGGAATGCAGAGTATTGAGAGTTACCTTGTACTGGGGTTTTTGACAAATCCAGTGTTTATAAAAACTGGACAAAGGCATGTTGTTTTTATTCCATCCTTTCCCAGGGCAGACAGCTCCTCTGTCAGAGCTTTATGAAATCCAACTGCAGCAAACTTGCTTGAGCTGCAGGAAGAGAGAAAGTACAAATGAGAAGGCAAAAATCCTGTTTCCACCTTTCTACCACTGCAAATGGCCTAAACGATCATCTGCCTCTTAGTTGCTTGGGTGCTGTTTAAGGTAATGGCTAGGGGAGGCGTGAGGGCTGGTGCACCTCTGCTCTACCTTATATCCTAACCTGTCACTATGTGCTCTCTATCCCTTTATCCCTTTACCCCTCTTTCTGCTCCTGGCTATGTGGAGACAAAACCCTCCAAATAATATAATCCATCTGAGAGATAGGGCAGGGACTATTCTAACTTTGCCTGTGCCAGGATGTAGTGGTGGATTAGATATTGAAACTTGTGGATTACTTGTGCAATGCATAGCAGGTATCTCAAAAAAGGGCACTTTAGTTGCAAACAGACAGACAAATGTTAAGAATTCTTAGAAAATTGCAACTGAAGCGCATCAATCAATGGACATCCTGTTCTTTTGCATGAGAGAAGATTCTTAGAAGGAATGCAGCCTGAATCTCTAAAATTAGGACGGATGGGCAGGGTAGGAATGGAGATTAACCTGCTATTGTTTACTGTATCATACAGGAGCATCTTGTAACAGTTTTGTGTGACTTTTGAAATAGAGAAGCATTATGCAAGCAGAACTGAGGAACAACCTGCCATGGAAATAGGTGTGGGCCTGAGGTTTAAATCAACTCCAAAAAAGGAAAACCACAGAATTAGTTTATTGATTGCTATGGATTTGGCAGCGTAATCCTAGTAAAATCCCTGGCTGAAGAGTTCTCACACTGCTGACAGTGA